AGACCCTGAGTAAAGACACGTGTCATGACAACTGCATGTGCAAGATTCTGGACGGGACCCTTTGCTTTTATAAAGGGCATTATCGGGAGAACGGGTGAAACTTGAGTGGGGTCTGATGACAGATGGTAAGTATGTATCGATGTTAATTTCCAAATTGCAATGTTCTATTGGGCCCACTGAAGCGTGTCCATGTAATCCGGAGTATTGAGCCATTGTGTAGTGGGGGGTATTTTTGGTCTACATTTTCCCTTCAAAATCTGTAATAGAGCCGAAACCGGTTTGGCTCAGTGGATAGAGCGTCGGCCTGCGGACTGAAAGGTCCCAGGTTCGATTCCGGTCAAGGGCATGTAGCTGGGTTGCGGGCACATCCCCAGTGGGAGATGTGCAGGAGGCAGCTGATCGATGTTTCTCTTCTCATCGATGTTTCTGACTGTCTATCTCTCTCCCTTCCTCTCTGTAAAAAATCAATAAAATATATAAAAAAAAAAAAAAAAAAAAATCTGTAATAGATGTTATTGCAAAATTAATATCTACTTATTTAAAACGTTTACTTACAGAGCACCATTTTCTGAGCAGGACAAAAATGGACTGTGGGCCAACCAGCCCTTAGCTGACCCCTCCCACCTCCAAGGCCACACGCACCTCAGATGGTTTGCCCAGGGCGTTAGCATGCGGCCACAGCTTTAATGTGTGTATTTTAATGCATCGCTATGTTAAGTTCATTATTGGAAATAGGTGTCTTCTCTTAACCACAGCAAACCAAAGCCCTTTACAATATTGGTCTTGGGCCGTTCACACCCCCACAGCTGAAACTGCTCTGATGAAAGCGTTGAAATAAGAGGAACAACACAGGGTAAAGCAAACAATGAAACTGAGATCAGGAAAAGGGGCAAAAGCCCCTAAGTATTCGCCTGTCTCCACACATTCCCTTTTCTCAGCCCAGCTTTGGGCTAGCAAGTTCGGGGCCAACAGGAAGACGGGGAGAAAGCCGCCCTAGGGAGCCGGTCCCGGGTTTGGGCGCGGGGGGGGGGGGGGGGTGTGCGCGGGAACAACAAAAGGGGGGTGATATCTGCCTCTCTGGGCTTTGCAATTTGCTTAGGGAGGATAAGTATTTCCTTCAAGCCCGAGATTAATGAGCCAACCCCTCATTTTCATATTCCCCCATTTAACCTCTCTCAGGAGACCATCAGAGAGGGAGGGGAAAAGAGAAGCAATAGAAAAGTAGAGGTGGGGTGAAGAGGGAAGATTTCTCGTGTAGGCGAGGTGAAAGGGTCAGCGAAAAAAAAGAGATTAGATGAAAAAAGAAGCTGTGAGGAATAAGAGCCTGGACGGGGTCACCCCTTTATGGGAGAACCCGGTGTCAGTGGGTGGGGGGCGGAGGGGGCCGCCTCCCCGGGCGCGGCCCTTTCACCCCCTAGAGTCTAGAGTCTAGAGTCTAGAGACCATCCCATCTAGACCATCGGTCTTCCTGACTAGCCGCACACCCGCACAGCCGGCTCACCCCAGAACAGTGCTGCCTCCATCCCTGCGCCCAGCAAGAGCTTCCAGCGCCCAAGCCGCCTGGTCCAGCCGCCGCTGCGTGGCTCCAGCGCGCCCTCTGGTGGCCGCTTAGGGCATCGGCGTCCCGAATCCCCGCGCCCCGCCTCCCTGCTCCCACCAACACCAAAAGCCCTGTCTGGTTCTGTTGCAGAAAAGCATCATCAGGAAAGGGATGAAGTTGACTGCGTCCTCCTTTCAGCGTCCAAGATCCTAAATTCCTCTGAGGGGACAAAGGAAAGTGGTGGCAGTGAAACAGGTAAACTCCCCGGGACCAAAGCTCCCAGGTCGAGGGCGTGAGAAACGCGTCTGCCTTTTACTACAGGTATCCGGTCAATTGCTTAAATCCACCGGCGCAATTGGGGCGCTCCCAACACATGCGTACTCCCAGCAGCTAGTACATGGGACAGATTAAGAACAGCGAAAACGGCGCATCACTCTGTGCCAGATGTTCAGAGCATTTAAATGCATCAACTCATTTGATCTCACAACAACCCTATGAAGTAGGTACTACCATTATCTCCTTATTAGGAGTGAGGAACCTGAGGCTCAGAGAGGTCCACAAACTCCCAAGGTCACACAGGTAGCAAGTGACAGAGCCCAGCGTTCAGTGGGGTTGGTCCAGATCCAGGCCTTAAACACCACACTGCACTATACTGGTTCTCTCAACACCAAACAGGAACTGTTGATTTTTGTCGAGACCCCAGAAAAACATATCCTTTTTCCAAAAGCAATACTTCTTATAGTAAATATTTACGGACGACAGGGCATTCTGTGGGGAGGGTGTTTGAAATAACCACAGAGCTCCATCCACAAGCTCCACATGAGCGTGCAGAGGGCGTGTGCGAATACCCAGCCAGCAGGGGAATCAGAACATGGGAGTCTCTTGCCCAGGCTGCAGGCCTCTCAGAGGGCCTGGGGGTCAGAGTGACCGCCAGGGAGCAGAGCACCGTGGGTGGAAGGCCCTATCGAGCTGATGGGCCAGGCTCAGACCCCCTGGGGCACATAACCTACATGTGGAATGTGGGTAATCCAGGCACAGAGGTGCTGAGAGAAGGGGTGACCCAGAGAGCGGATACCAGCACGGGATTCCTGCACCCAAGACTTCCTGTGCGCACTGAGTGTGACCTAGTCTTCCGCAGGCTTCAGAGTAAATCCCCCAGACCTTCACTTAACCACCTCAAAGCCATTCCGCTGTAATTACCTTGTTTCTCACTTCTGACACGTCCAGAGGACACAGCTAGAGAACTGACGTCTAACGTAGGATGAACCCTAGTTCGTGCATTCCCGGGAGTGTGCGCTTCTTCAGGGCTGGGCCCTGCGCTTCTCCGTGGTCTGCACCCCTCCCAGTACTTTTTAAGTTTTTTAAGTATTTATTTCCTTTGGAAATACACAGAGGCCATAAGAAACACATAAGAAGAACAAAAAATTACTTGAATAGCTTTTTTAAAAACAGAAAAATCCACCCCTCTGCCTGCTCTGTGCCATCACTGAGTCCCCTGAATATCACTGGGAAAACACTCTGAGTCATACCACGGGGCTCAGTGCTATTGAGGAAACTTACTTAATTTCCCAGAAAATGCTTCTCCAAACCCTCTCCAAGAGAACTATTTCACTCTTCGTGTGTCCACGCCTCTCGCCACTATCTCTCAACTGGTAACAGGATCTCATACCACAGGAACAAAACAGAAGCAGTCAGACCCAAACTCCTTCACCCTCGGCCTTCCAATCTGCGAGCCTACCTAGCTGGGTACCCACACCCTCTGCCTCCCCCGTTTCAATCAAAGGTCCTGGCCTGCGACTCCTCTCTCTCCTGCAATTCTCTCTCAGCTTCCACAATCAGCCTCCCTCGTTCTCCGAATCTCCTCCTCCCTGTCTCCTATGGGACGCCAGCAGCAAGGAGGCACACTAGATGCTCTCAGGCTTGAAAAATCCTTCTTGATCTTCACATCTCTCCCAACAGATCTTCACATCTATTCCATTAGGCACCTATTCGCTTCCATAGTGAAATGAGAAAGAAGTGCCTATACTCAGTGCTGGACAGATCTTCACAGCCCGTTCCCTTCTCAAGACACTTCAGTAGGGCTCTGTCCCCCTCACTGCACAGAAACTGCCCTTGGCCAACCAGCGTGGCTCAGTGGTTGAGCATCGAGCTATGAGCCAAGAGGTCATGGTTCGATTCCCAGTCAGGGCACATGCCTGGGTTGCAGGCTCGATCCCCAGTAGGGTGCGTGCAGGACACAGTTGATCAATGATTTTCTCTCATCATTGATGTTTCTATCTCTCCCTCTCCCTTCCTCTCTCTGAAATCAATAAAATCATATTTTTTTTTAAAGAGTATTTCCTGTGGAAACAGGATGCACCTCCCACTGGATTTCTAACAAGAGTCTCAGGGAACAACACAACAGTAGAAATCACGTCCTCCAACGAAGGCTCCACGTGGCTCCAACTGCTCTCCCCTCCCCCAGGCACGCCCCTAAGGATGAGGCCACAGAAAAGTGCAGAGGAAAACAGTGGCTCTGAAACCGCATCACAGAGGGTTAGACCCCCGGGGCTCACGGAAGGGCGATGAGAGATGAGAGAAATTCGGAGCAGAGTTGCTCAGGTTGCCCGTGAGCCATATGCAAAGTAGCAGCGTGGGAACTGCAGACATACTGTGGTCAGGAAAGAAGAGATAGAGGGAGGGACTCTCCTTATAAGTGGTACAAAATCTAGGCCAGTATATAAACTCCATGTTCTTTCTTTACAATCTTTTATTTACTACGTCCCTTAACTAAGTCTTTAGATTTCTTTTGGCCCCACTTTTCTTACTTGGTTTTAGCAAAAGAAGTCCTGTATTTAGCCTTGAACTTGCAAGGCCTCCTAATGAGACCAAGGACATGTGTGCAGAAAAGGGAGGCGGCTGCTGCAGGTGCCAGAAGGAGATGGAATTGGGGACAGTAAATCCATTAAGAACAAAATTGGGCTGAAAATATTTGCAATAATAATATGCTATTTCTGTGTTAAACAGCTTTGTGGAAATTATGGTTACAGAGCAAAATTAAACATCATAAAACTTCACAGTGTGAAGACAATATAACTAGCAAATATCATAAAAAGTGGGGAGCAGCTGTGGGAGGAAGTATGATGCTCATTTTCTCATAACTGTGCTCCCTTTCTTGGCAGGGAGTAAATCAACACTGAATACAATAGAAATGCTTGTTATTAAAAAAAAACACATTAAAATTCCAACCTCATAATCCTTTTCCTGATATATTTTCATTAGCTTAGAGTGATCTCAGAGGAAATAATCTCTCATGTAGTGAAAAGAGATCTGAATGCTAGCAATAATGTGTAGTTTTTATTCTATTAAATATAAATTTGATGCCATTTATTTTCAAGTAGCATGTGTAATATGATCCCACTATTCTAAAATCATTCTGTTTTTTCCATATACATGCCTGGGGCAGGGGCGGGGGGGGGGGGAGTACTCAGAGTTAACAACAGTTAGCTCTGGGTGGTGGAATTCTAGGAGATACGTTCTTTTTGATTTGCATTTTGATCTATCCAAGTACATTAGCAGAGGTTGTTTTAGGGTCTGAAAAACTTTAGGAAGCTTTGCTGCACTGGTCCAGGCCTCCATTGAGTTCCTTTTCACCTGAGATCAACGTTTCAGACGCCCATTTCTTCCCCAGTCAGATGCAAAGCTGAGCCACACCCCAGTGGACCTGCTGTCCCTGCCTGCCCACCATGAAGGTGGGATTCTTCAATTGGCTAAATGGCTCCAGGCTCTGGACCCGAGTTGCCCTCCCGGTGATGAGGGCCAGTGGGCAGGGAGGGGTCATACTTTGCCACCAGCTTATGGAAGATCTGACAATCTGCTGACCTCTCTCACAACCTTCTCCTAGGGCCCTGGCCGGTTTGGCTCAGTGGATAGAACGTCAGCCTGAGGACTGAAGGGTCCCAGGTTCAATCCTGGTCTAGGGCACGTACCTGGGTTGCAGGATTCCTGCCCTGGTCAGGGGTATGCAGGAAGCAACCAATCGATGTGTCTCTCTCACATCGGTGTTTCTGTCTCTCCCTCTCCCTCTCACTCTCTCTAAAAATCAATGGGAAAAAATATCTGCAGGTGAGGATTAAAAATAAATAAATAAAAATAACAAAAGTAGATATTTAAAAAAAAAAAAACACAACCTTCGCATAAGGCAGAACTTGTCAGCCTAGGAGCACATTTTCTCCTAACTTTCATTTCATTCAGACACTGCATTGTTTTTAAATTCTTTAATAAAAATTTGCAAAGCAAGGGAGTAGCCAACCACTGGAACAAAGAGGGGTGTGTGTCAGGAAATGCATGTAGTCTCTCCCCTGATGCAGATCTGTAACCGACTTTCTGGGAAGGAACACACGGGTCTTTATAAGACTGTAAGAGCATGGCGAGACTTAGGCTTCGTTAATCCAACTTGTTTTCCATGATAAGGAGAAAGGATATTACATGGCTGTTTCATAGACACTAAGACCCATACAGTAGTTTGCCAAGGTCCTCTCATAACATGAGGATTATTAGTATTTTTACAAAAATAAATAAATAAATATATATATATATATATATATATATATATATATATATATATTACTAGTATATCCCAGAAACAAACAAAAATGTTTGAGTTTTTGAAAGTTTCAAGCTTGGTGTTACAAGTACAGTAAAACCACCTTTACAACCTCAACTAGGTACTTTAAGTGAAAACAATTATTTCTTAAACTGATTATGTGATGAGCCTTGGGTTCTTCCTAATGTGCACCTCAAATTCTCATGATCTCTTCATCTCACCATCCAGAACAGGAGACTGCTTTCCATTACAGTTGTTTAAAAACAAAACCTCGAAAAGAAATCACACGACTGTTCAATTTTTCTTTTTAGAATATGGCTGCACAGCAGAATCAGAAAATCAAGTTCAACCACCATCAGCATTGAAAGTGAGTGTGTTTTATTTTCTCCAAACATGTTGGTGAAGGCTGATCGTTTCCAGAATAAATAATTTCTAAGTGCGTATGGGTTTTCCACAAGACTCTTCACGAAAATGCATTGGAGAGTGAGCAAGGATGGCGAAGACTGTGAGTCACCTGACCGTCCTGGGGTCCCTCCTGGCATCTTTGGGGATATTAACGCAAAATCAACAATCCAAGCACATGTTCACCTCCCCAAAAACACTCAATCCCACGCCTTGTTCACTTTGTTGCAGGCCCTTCAGCACCAACTGGAATCATTTCAGGCTCTCCGAATACAGACTTTGCAGAATGTCAGCATGGTACGTTTCGCTTCATCCGCACACAGGAAATATCCAAACGGAAACGATCCTCCACATTTCTGATGTCCACTGGCCAATTGGTCAGCCGATACAGAATCCTATATAATAAAGAGCTAATATGTTAATTAGACCAGACAGCGGAACAACATTCCAGAACAACCAGTGGGCAGGGGGCGAGGCCGTGGGGCCATGAGGGCTGTGAGGGTCGAGGCAGCTGAGGCCACTAGGGCCAAGCCCCTTGCACGAATTTCATGCATCAGGCCTCCTGTGTAATATAATAGAGGTCACAACATTTCTAGGCTCAAAATTTGGGGAAAACTATATTCTGTTACATATACTTGGATATGAGACAAAAATAAATAGCGCTCACTGGCTGTTTTTTAGACTGACTGTATATAGTCTACAGACAGGGACTCTCATTATAAATGATTCAAAATTTGCCCTAGCCTGTTTGGCTCAGTGAATAGAGCGTCGGCCTGCGGACTGAAGGGTCCCAGGTTTGATTCCTGTCAAGGGCACATGCTGGTGCTGCCGGCTCCATCCCCAGTGGGGGGCATGCAGAAGGCAGCCAATCAATGATTCTCTGTCATCATTGATGTTTCTGTCTCTCTCTCCCACTCCCTTCCTCTCTGAAGTCAATAAAAATATATTTTAAAAAAATAATAAGTGACACAAAATTTAACCCAAACTGACTAAGGGGGAAAGTGCACTAGCTGGGGTAACTGAAAACCCTAGGGATTTTCACTCGGGGAAGGCTGAAGTCACGTGATCAGGATTCAGGACATCAGATAAGTATCTGCTTTCCACAGTCATGGATCCTCAGACTCCAAGCAGTGACGAAGGGGCTGCTAGGAGTTCACACCTTTCTCCCTCCAGATCCCAGCCAGAGAGGGGACCACCATGCTTTTCCCTCTTCCCGGTTTATACTGAGGTTCTCGGCCTGATTCTGATTGGCCCAGGTCCGGTCACGTGCCAGGGGAGGCAATGCTCCCACTGGTTAGGGCTGAGTCACCTACCACGCCTGGAGCTGGAGGAGGGATCCGCATCACCAACTCTGCATGGACTTTATACAGAAGGAATGCAGGGTAGTGTAAAGAGGAGGTTTGGGTATGAATATTGGGGTTGCAGAACACAGCACTTATTCGCTGAAGACTCGATATAAACTTCACCCCAATATTCTTGTACTAAAAGCAATTGCAGGGGAATGGGAAGAGAAGATGAAACTCCTGAGAGTGACAGACTAGGTTCCATTCTGATGTCAGAGGTCAAAGGAGTAGACCTCTGATACAGAGGTCTCTGATGCATTCAACAATGTAAAAATCAAACATCTAAAACGATTTGAATATACTGCGTAAGATTTTATTGTTTTCCTAAGTTTAGTCTTTCTAATTTTATAATCACATAATAAGGGGATCATTTTATTAAAGATATCTTTAATTATATAGATTACAATAAGTTTTAATTTTATGTGATAGGAAAGAATTTTTACATGCGGGAAATTAAAAGTTATCTTTTAATTATACTATTACTCCTGGACATTCATAAGTTTATAAACCTGAAATCAAATTCTAACATTCTCGATTTATCTTTTTAAAGGTACAATCTGAAATTAGTGACATACTGAACAAAAGTATTATTGAAGTAGAAAACCCACAGTTTAGCTCAGAAAAAAATCTAGTATTCAACACACACAATGAAAAGGTATGTTATTCTGTACAAAATCATTCTATATTTGGGTATTTCAAAAATGTTACCACAACTAGTTTATCTTCAACTTTACGTTTTCCCCTTCTTCACAGGGCGACTGGATTGTCAGAGAGGAAAAGAAGGAAATTCCTGTCCTGAAAACCCTAAAAGGCGTGAGTTTACCCCCATACTTCTGCAACATCCCATTTCCCTTAGGAGGGTGTATGAAGGGCATTTAACTTAGTCCAGATACCCAAAGATCCCCAAGTAAATGAAATACAGGGCAGTTGTTATAGTCTATCTGTCCACTTTTGAGTTTTTCTACTTTAGGCTTGACCTAGACCCGGGGTGAATGCACTAGGACAGGTCCATACCAGTGTCACTGTGTCCGTACTGATTCGCACTCACATTTTCAGGATCCTCACAGCCCCTAGAATCATCTGGAACTAGGAATGCAAGCTGAGGGAGACAAATAGCCGAGAAGTGGAAATATTCATTTTTCTTTAAACCTCCATTTGGCCTATTGCTTCTCTCTTTCCCATCCATCTGTGATGGTCTCCTGAGAGAGGTTAAATGTCTATTTCTGAAATTGAGGGGTTGGCTCATGAATCTCACCCTTGAAGGAAATAAGTATACTTTCTAAGCAAATTGCAAAGACCAGAGTTACAGATCTCAACTGTTGTTAGATTTTCTGGAGGAAATGAATCATACTTGTTGGGCTTCTTCGCTGTCTATGTGATTAAAATGCTCGTTTGCTTGCAAAAACAAATCCTCCACAAATTGTTATCTTAATATGTTGGTCATGTGGCAAATGACAGTACATTTACAGTGTGCTTCTTATTGTTACTAGCCTACAGAGAATCAAGAAGAAATCCTCTCTGTGGAGAAAATTCATCATTTTGAGGACTCGAGGACTCTTCCTTCAATGGAAGAAAAATTCAGTAGCGATAATGTCAACAGTCTCTCACCAAGTGTAAATATGCCGCCCCAGATGCATTTCAAAGACATATTAACTCTAAGAACTTCCATGGATAATCCAGCCTCAAACATGATTATGAACACTTCAGAAAATTCTGACATGTTGAAGAATTATAACATTTATAGTTTTCTAGCTAATGCACCTCAAAATGTTATGCCTCGAGCTGACACAGTAATTCTGGATAATTCCAAAATTACTGTGCCTTTCCCCAAGCACGGATTTCGTGAAAATTTAGATGATATTTGCCATTCTATCAAGCAAATGAAGAAAGAGCTGCAAAAGTCACACGACAGGGAACTGGCACTTACAAATGAACTTCAAACTTTAAAGATGGATACAAATGTTCAAAGTAATACTCAATATGACCTGTCCCCCATTCACAAGGAAAAAATTAACTTTATTAAGGATGAAAATATGGAAAGTAACTTACATGAAGATATAAAATCAAAGCGAATTTTAGAATTAGAGGCATTAATAGGCAAATTACTCCCACTCAGGGAATCAGTGTCAAAATTCCATCTGAATTTTTGTAGGAAATGTAAAAAATTGTCTAGGAGTGAAACACATAGGGGAAAGAAGAATGAGAAAAACAATAAAGAAATTCCTATCACTGACAAGAATACTGCAGATTTAAAATTCCGTTCCAGACTTCCATTTACACCGTCATTCTTTGACTCAACAAAATATGAAATGAAAGACAAAGAAAGGCAACCACTTGTAGTAAAACGAGGACCAATAATATTTGAAAATGAGAAAACATCCAAAGTTAATTCCATGACTGAGCAGTGTGTTGCAAAAATTCAGTACTTACAGAATTACCTAAAAGAATCTATACAGGTACAGAAAAAAGTAGCAGAGCTGGAGAATGAAAATCTAGCCCTTAAGACCAAAATAAAACCTCTGGTCTTTACCACACAATCTCTGATACAGAAAATTGAAATATATGAGAAGAAACTTAAGGATTTGGTTGAAGAAAAGAACACTATTCAGTCCCAATTAATTAAAACAGACGAAGAGCGCAAAAACTGTATTGAAGAATTGAAACAAGTACCTAGTAAATATAATGTTCTCCAAGGACAAAATAAAACTCTAGAGGAAAAAAATAGTCAACTTTCTTTGGAGAAACAACAAATGATAGAAACATTAGATAAGCTAACACATAAAGAACACAAAACTCAAAACGATATGGCCATTGTCAATAATGAATATAATCGAATGAGCATAGAAATGGAATCAATGCAAACAAATATTCTATTGATACAAGATGAAAGGGAAATGTTAGAGAAGAAAACCTACCAGCTTCTAAAGGAAAAAAGCTCACTTGAAAATGAACTAAAAGAAAGCCAGCTAGAGGTAGTGCAGCTGAAAGAGAGAGAAAGATTGGCAAAAACTGAACATGAGGCCCTGCTTCAAATAATAGAAACAGTCAATAATGAAAAACTTAGTCTTGAAACAACATTACAAGAATCTACTGCTGCCAGGCAAATGATGGAAAGAGAAATTGAGAACATGCAAACATACCAGTCTACTACCGAAGAGAATTTCCTGAATGAAATAAAAAATGCAAAATCAGAAGCTAGTATTTATAAGAATAGTTTATCTGAAATGGGTAATGAATGTGAAATGTTATCGAAAATGGTCATGGAAATTAAAACAGACAATCAGATTCTAAAGGAAGAACTAAAAAAACATAGTCAAGAAAATATACAATTTGAAAGCAGCATCAGTAGACTTTCAGAAGACAAACTACTTTTAGAGAACTATGTGAGAAGTATAGAGAATGAGAGGGACACCTTGGAGTTTGAGATGCGGAATCTTCAAAGAGAATACTTAAATCTAATGCAAAAAATCTGTGGTCAGCATGGTGACCTGTCAAAAATGGGTTACATATCAAGAAGAGAGAAATTCCATTTTGACAACCATGATACATACGAAGACACCTCTGGTCCCAGGAGTAGGCCTTTAGCTCCTGAATTAAAAGGTATGTATATTGTGGTGGATTAATAGAAAGTAAGATTCCTTTAGCCTACTGGGCATGAGTCAGAGGACAGTAATAAGGAGGAAACTTTTTCACCTGGCCCATGTGGCTCAGTGGTTGAGTGTCAAACTATAAAGCAGGTTCAATATATGGTTCAATTCCCCATCAGGGCATATGCCTGGGTTGAGGGCTTGATCCCCAGTAGGGGATGTGCAGGAGGCAGCCAGTCAATGATTCTCTCTCATCATTGATGTTTCTATCTCTCTCCCTCTCCCTTCCTCTCTGAAATCAATAAAAGTATATTTTTTTAAAAAGAAGGGAACTTTTAAGATGAATACAACTTAGTTTTGTAAGATTTGTATCCAATTTATTATATAGTGGAATTATTTAGAGGTTTTGCTCTTTTTTATAAAACTCATGTTATTTTATTCATATTACTTCTATACATTGTATACGTACAAAGCAACTTTGGGAGGGAGCAGGGGTTTTTTAAATTATTGTTTTTTCTGAAGTACATTCAGCACTCCCACCTTAAAACAAATTCTTCTTTCTTTCCAGGAATTCCAAGTAAACTGAATCAATTGCTTCCATCCAAGAGATGTAAATAAATTTCTAAAATCAATGTTTCAAGATCCTTTGTGCCAGAACTTTTTGTCTACAAAATAATTTTAATTTGCTTTTACATATGATTACATTTACTCTGTAATTTATTAAACTAGTTTTTTAATTAGAAATTGAAATTTTATTTATATATTATATATTATAAATTATGTATTATGTATTATACATTGTATATTATATATTACATATTACATATTACATTGTTCCGGGGCGTGGGGCTCCCTTTTTCACGTCCCACACGGGAAAGAGAGCTCCCACACGGGAAAGAGAGCTTGAACCGGTTCCTTCAAATGGAGGCGCTTCGGGGATTGAGAAAATGAAAGAAAGACATAAGTGGGCTTCTGTCCTCTTCTGGCGGAGAGGCGGAGAGACCAAGTCCCAAAGCAGCGTGTTTATTTTATGCGTGTTTATTTTATACTTGAATTACAGGAAGTTACATCACATCTGGGTGGGCCTTCGACATCATGAGATCCATCCCCTTAACACTGGGCAGGGGAGTCAAACTGGGTGGCGCCCAATCTTTTGACTGGTCACGCCCCCAAGGGAGTGGCTCTGCTGGCTCCCTGGGTCCAGCTGATGTAAATTAAGCCGAGTGTATTCTAATGGCCCTTAAATTACATATATATTCCAGAACTGTGAACAGTATGAGATGTCACCCAACTTGTAGGCTATTATGTTAGCCTCACAGTTTCATGAGTTCTAGTGGAAGACATGAGACACCTGGGTCAGAGGTAAAGGACAGTTTGTTATAGCAACAGCAGTAGCCAGAATATTAGCTTTTTTTTTGCATTGGTTCTCCAATTCCTATAAACAGCATGAAAAGGACCACAGTCAGTTCTATTGCAGGAGAGAACTCTGAGGTTAGGGAACCCAAATATATATATATAGCTAATATACAAAGTGTCCCCTTGGGAGTTCAACCGGGAGACCGGGAGTTCGATCGCTCGCTATGACGTGCACTGACCACCAGAGGGTGGTGCAGAACGAAGGCAGGCCCCAGCCAGGCCTAGGGACCCTACCCATGCATGAATTTTGTGCACCAGGCCTCTAGTATTGTATAAGTGCAGTACGCATGCCCATCCTTTGCTCTAAACTTTACCTTTATCATACAGGTCAGTTAGCATATCTGCCCCTGCTCCAGGGAGTCACTAACTCTAGCTTCCAAGGCTGAAAGCAAACCTGCCCTTTGCTCCAGAGCAAGACACTATATCTTCTTCCAAGACTGCTTGCTATATAAACTTGTTGAATTTTACCAAATGCTTTTTCTGCATTTATTGAGGTGTGTTTTTCCCCTTTAATCTGTTAATATGGTAATTACATTGATTAATTTTGGAACATACTAACTTTGCATTGCTGGAATAAACTCCATTAGGTCATGTATTATCCTTTTAATATACACTCTTGGGTTCAATTTGATTTAGTTAAGGATTTCTTCTGTGCTCAGAAAGATATTGGTCTCCATATTTTTTTTTTCTTTTAATGTCTTTATCTGGTTTGGTACCAAGGAAATCTGGCCTCATAAAATGTGTTGGGAATGCCGTAACCGGTTTGGCTCAGTGGATAGAACATCGGCCTGCGGACTGAGAGGTCCCAGGTTCAATTCCGGTCAAGGGCATGTACCTTGGTTGCGGGCACATCTCCAGTGGGAAGTGTGCAGGAGGCAGCTGATCGATGTTTCTCTCTCATCGATGTTTCTAACTCTCTATCTCTCTCCCTTCCTCTCTGTAAAAAAATCAATAAAATATATTTTTAAAAAATGTGTTGGGAAGTGTTCCCTTCTCCTCTGTTTTCTGAAAGGATTAGTGTAGGATTGGCATTATTGATGTTATCTCTTCCTTCAATACATAATAGAATTCACCAATTGGCCTGCAGTCTTCCAAATGGGAAGGTTTACATTACAAAACAAATCTCACGAATAGATATGGAACAATTCAGATTTTTATATCTTTAAGCCAGTTTGATTATTGGTATGTTCTGATAATCTTGTACATTGATGTAAGTTCTCAAATGTATTGACAAACAGTTGTCCATAATAATCCTTATTATCTTTGTAATATCCAGAGGACGTGTGGTGATATCCCATCTTTAATTTCTGACATTGGTAATTTGGGGTTACTTCTTTTTTCTTTATCAGTCTCACTAGAGTTTAATCAATTATATTGCTTTGTTCAAAAATCAGCCTCTAAGGACGAAAGATAAGACTTCCAGAAGATATGATGTGCTGCTGCTTAACTTTCTCCCAGTCCCAGTGGAGTTTCTTGTTGACCTGAATCTCATTAAGTCTTCCACAAGTTAGCATCCTCAATCTTTGTTTCCATTTTAAGCCTTACATAGGTATGGTTGGATGACTCATAGAAATTAATGGCTTCTAAGCAAGCTTATTTCTTCCATTATTCACTGATGGTGAATACAAAAAGCTACTCACATCATACAGGCATCATAATGGGCCTGAAGATCACTAGATGCCTGAGTCATCAAGAGATAAGATGCCAGTGACCATGTCTTAACTCCTCATGTCTAAGTTTGGGGAGGGAAAGTTGTTTCACAGGAAACTAATGTTATATTTTCAAAATTAAAAGAAGAGTCAATAATGATTAAAAAAAATAAATCAATGGTCATCACCAATAAAGCACCGTCAAGTAAAATGCGTATGTATGTGTGTTCTTCCATCATCGTAAAAATCTTAATTTTCCTACATGCTTCACTATTCCTCTTACTGGTTTCTGCATTCCTTTTTCTGTAAATTGACACAACACATATATGTAAACTCTAGATAAGCTCTGCCCGCTGCCCTACTCCTTCTTACACCCTTTAGTCAGGCATTAGATGCAGATTCCCGTCTGTGAATGTTACACGGAGTTTGCATTGCTATGAGAGGCACATTAATAAAAGCTACAGCTAATAAAGGCAGAGGTGAAATGAGCAAATATTAAGATCTTAATAAAATCTGAAATTATAAGCCTCTATCTCAAAAGAACATATATGCAAGACTTGTTGGGTAAGATTTATCAATGTACAACTATATGAATTTTATGCAGTTTATGCACCTGGTAAAACAACTCCCATTCTGAAGACACACGTTTTCCCCTTTGAGTTACATTATACCCTTGATAATGTCTGTAAGATGTTCATTCTGCATTATACTTTGGGTAGGAAATAAGAATTTTAAATATTCTTTTAGAAAAAAGTAAACAGTTATAAGGCAAGACAATAAAAATATGCACATTTGACAATAGGAAAAGTTCTCTGTACCTTCTGCAATCCCTTTAAAAGCCAGATTTATATCTGGATTGACATAGTTTCCCCATTGGGATAAAAATGGTTCCAAACGAAGAGTACTGAAGCCTCTACACATTCTGACTTCCTGTTCTAAGAAACCTAGGATGGCAGAAGGACAAGTCTAAGAAAGCACCGTGAACCAAAAATAATTTCCTGCCCGGCTGGTGTGGCTCAGTGGTTGAGTGTCAACCCATGAACCAGGAGGTCAGGGTTCAATTCCCGGTCAGGGCACATTCCCCTGGTTGCAGGCTGGATCCACAGTAGGGGTTGGGCAGGAGGTAGCCAATCAATGATTCTCTCTCATCATTGATGTTTCTATCTCTCCCTCTCCCTTCCTCTCTGAAATCAATAAAAATATATTTTAAAAAATAATAACTTCCCCAATGAACAAAATAAACTGATGAACAAAATAGATTCAGAGACATAGAAGCATGGAACAGACTGATAACTCTCAGAGGGAAATAACTTATATGCATATATGCATAACCCATGGACACAGACAATAGTGCGGTGAAGGCCTGAGGGGGGTGGTGTGGGGTCAAAAGGGTCAAGGGGGTTAAGAGAAGGAAAGGGGACATCTACAATACTTTCAACAATAAAGATGAATTTTAAAAATTAAAAAATAAGAAGGGATAAAGATCATTAGAAAAAAATAACTTCCCCAATGCATTACATTAATAGATATTGTAAATTTCTCTTTTATATTACAAACACCACCACCACCCCTAAAATCAATGAGGACTACTGATAGACCTCATGGTGAATTATAGTAATGCGTTTAAATTGTATCTTTTAACAACAGATAGTTTGAAAAGTGGTAGAGTGAGTGCAGAAGAGAGAACCTGGAAACCAGAGGGTAAGGCCTGGGAGTGGGAGGTGCCCCAGGAGAGGCAGCTTGGACCGCTAACCAGGAGAGGGGCAGAGAGGACACCAAGGACCACCTTCATCCACCTTGCAACTTTGTCATTCTTTATAAAATAATGAAGTAAAAGTGTGTTCCCTGTTCTCCCTCCCCCCAGCTCACCCTGGGGCTGCACTGGGTGATGCTTTAGAGGTCATGAATGGAAGGCACGGTGCCCTGTACACGGAGACATCTGCCTTACTCTATAAAGTGTGACTCTATGCAATATGAATGGATCCATATTTATCTTTGATAGGAATGCTCTAATAGGCTGACACTTGGATAGCTATCAATCCAATTTTCACCTCCAAGTTAAGAATTTACTGTGTACTTTCTATCCTCCTCAGCCTCCACATTCCCCTCCCCCACAACCCTGCAGCTTTTTCACATTAGGAGTAAGAGCTCTCAATTGATACACTATACTTCAAAATTGTATAAAAGTTCTAAACATTATATTCTCAAAAACGCATACCAGCCCGGCTGGCATTGGCTCAGTGGTTGAGTGTCAACCTATGAACCAGGAAGTCACGGTTGGATTCCAAGTCAGGGCACATGCCCGGTTGCAGGCTCCATCCCCAGTGTGGGGCCTACAGGAGGCAGCTGCTCAATGATTCTCTCTCACCACTGATCTTTCTCTCTCTCTCTCTCTCTCTCTCTCTCTCTCTCTCTCTCTCTCTCTCTCTCCCTTCCTCTCTGAAATCAATAAAAAATATATTGGGGGGGTGGGGGGTGGAAGAGACACACACCAGCAATCAAATTATCAGCAAATACTATTTATTCATTAATAGTACTAAGACAAGAGTATTA